ACTAAAATCCATAGTCTCTCTCTCTCTCTCTTTGTAGGAAAGTCCCATGCTTGTCCCCACGACTGCCACAGTTAGGGTGTCTCAGATGTAGCAGTTCTTGGCTGCTCTTTCCTTCAGCAGGCAGCTGAGGGTGGGGAATATACAGGCCTAATTAGGTCCTTATGAAGGGCTGAATTTTTCCCTACTAGTCCTGATTAACAAGTGACAATCCATATTCACATCAGGTGTATTTGGCAAAACAGCAACCATAATTAATGCTGTGCTCTACAGGCATACTTTATAGTGACCAGACCTATACATTTTGATTGCTATACCAATCAACCTAGCTTCACAAAAAAATATATATAAATGGAGTGACTCAGCTGCAAACAACCAACTTTAATAGCATCTCATTTTACAGCTTAAACCTTTGGGTTTTTCCTATATCTTATCGCAACTGCAAAAAATAAAACTATGAGGAAGAAAAAGACATAAACAATACATTCCTAATGCTAACAAAGACCAAGCCAAGAATGTTTCCATCAAGATTATAGCATAGGGTTAACACTATATACACGTTTTGAAAGCTAAACAATAGTTTTAATACAAATACAGAGGCAGTATTTTTTTCCCCCCCCACTCATGAGTTTCGCCCCCATATTTCCCACCATTTCCCACAAATCACCTTCTTAATCCTCTCTACTAGCTACCCACATAGCAGGTGTGTGCATGGTGTGGGAGGGGAGGTTAGGGGGAGAGAGCAATAAAAGAGAAGGATATTTGTTTTGCAAAGCCATTACCTCTCATCTCTAGCCTGCATGCTGCACTGACTCTGCCCCTGTGTTCCTCAGATATACAGTCCTTGACTTACAATGTTTTGCGTTACAACATTTCACATTTACATTTATAAACTGACACCCTGTTTCAACTTTATGACATCAGTTTCAATTTTACAATGCTTGATCCAATGCAATGTGACGCCAGCGAACAAGTTCGCTGCATCGCCCATCTCCCTGGAGAACATGTCCAAACTTCCTTGAACACTTTCTTTAAGAAAGCAGACAGGACTCCAGAAAAACCTGCAGCCAAGACTCCTGAGAAGACTCCAGCCAAGAACCCTTCAAAAAGTCCAACCAAGAGCCTTTCAAAAAGTTCAGCAAAATCACCTCAAAGAAGTCCTTCCAAATCAATGTGATTACTATTTACAATATAAATACATTAACGTAGCTATATTACTCATCTATAATTGATCAAGTACAAAATTCTGGGGTATTTTTAGTGAAAATAGGGTATTGGGCCTTGGTTCAGGAACCAATCCCCCGTTTATAACATTATTTCTTATGAGAAAATTGTTCTGAGTTACAAGGTTTCGACCTAAGACGGGGTTTTCAGGAACTAATTTTGTCGCCAGTCTGAGGACTGCCTGTATTCTACATAAAATATAGGGCCAGCACAAAGTTCAGCTCCACAGCCTGCTCTTCTGGCAGTAAAACCATGGAGCGCATCCAGGTGAGTGCACACATGTAGTTTGTGGCACCTCAAAGCTGTCTGAGGTGCCACAAACCGCATGCAGCACATATGCACCTATTTTCCACACTGCCAATTTACAGTGTGGTGCCAAAATTTCACACTGGGGGACCCCAGAATCAAAAAAAAGCAGCACCAAAAAAGCCCAAAACGAAACAAAAAAAACTGGTGCGGTGCACATGGCAGGAGTGTGCACTGCCAGAAAAGGAGTCTGGCCATCCAAAGCCATGCTCTGGCTGCCAGCCAGAATCCATGCGGCTGAACCAGCACCACTGCTGCCCTAGGAGGCCCCACAACCCCAGGTAGGACTGCTGGGGCCAATTCAGGTACTGGCCCCAGCCCTCCTACTCCACCCAGGACAATTTGATGCGTATGTGCAGGGGCATGCCCTGGGACACAAAGCAGAGGCACAAATGTGCTGTTGCTATTTGTGCCACAGCAAACATATGCCCCTGCATGTGTGCACTTGTTTGGACATGCCCATGGTTGTCCATACACAGGGCTTAAAGCATGCCACCATTTAACTCCGAATGCCTGTGGTCACCAATGTTTTAAGAACAAGTCACACAGATCACCTTTGAGCATAACTAAATATTGTGGTAAAATATCAGTGGCCTTCTGAAGCCCTTTATATGCAACTATTTTTAGGCATTGCTGCCATGGGAAGAGTTGTGCAGGGACTAGCAGTAATGAGGAGTGTTAGAGACAAAGAGCAAAGTGTAGAAGAAACTTTCTTAAGGAGAATCTTAAAGTGTTAACAGTAGCAATACAGAGCTGCTTAGGAGTCCTGACCAGGACAATATGTTGAGCAGAGCACAAAAACGTACTGAAGAGTCACTGTCCCCACTGTGCTAACAAAGTTATACTAACAAGTTAACCCAAACACAATTAGTGAAGGCAGAGCTCTTTCTGGAATACTGATCAAAGATATTTGTCTGAGATATCAACAGAAGCAGCATTGTATGAAATGGTCTTCACTTTGATATAAGAAACAGTGTTGTGTAAGTCTGCAACTAGCTAGCCCTCTCCTCTCAGTTGTAATAAAATAAGCATTATGAAACAATGTTTAAAGAGAGGTCTGTCAGTCTAGCATATAATTCTGTTTTCATCCAATCCCAGCTCCAGTGTCGGCAGTTTTAAACTACTCCTTGAAGTCTCAATAGTTCACTTTCCCCATGTGTGCAGTTGGATAGTATTTACTTATATACCCTTGTTAGGAAGTTAAGCAGTTAATGCCTGTGAAGTGCTTGAAAGATGAGAAGTGCCATTATTAGCACCAATTTAAAATAAGCAAGTATACATGTAAATGCCTGCTGGAAATCAGGCTATGGACATCTCTGGAGTTTTCAGGGGGCACAAAAATAGGGTCCTAGGATCATGAGCAAGAAGCTTTAAAATAGTTTAGAATGGGGTTTTCAATAAAGTTTAAAGGTGATGTACATGCCAAGTCCCTACTGGCAACAACAGGAATTGTGTGCCCAATACTCCTGGGTATGTTTGAATAAAATATAATGATAAGTTTGCAGCAAAACAAAGTTTTAAAAAAAGGACTCTTCTGAGTGAAATACTCCTCATTTATCATCTGAGTACAATCTGGTACATATATGGCCAGACACAAAAGCAAAGCAACAAAAATATCTGTACTAAATATTCAGACATTAAATCTTTTATCATACAGAGTCAGATAAAAAGAAAGAAGGTAAAAGGACTAACCATACATGCCTTACAATAGTGAAAGGCCATTCTTCCCACCCAACCCCAGAAACAGATCTGATCTCACATTAATACAAAAGAGAATACTATACCTTTTAAAATGAAGGAATCAAAGGAAGAAATGGCAGCATCTTAGAAGCACTGATTTTGTGTCCCAGCAATGTGGAATTACTCAAAATTAATTTCCTGCACATAGCTTGGAACAGCAGCAATCAATATTACCTCTGGTACTTTTGGTTTCTGGTGACATGGGCCCAATCTGGATACCTGAGATGGAAGTAAAATTCTGTATATCCCAGCATAAGTCCTCCAAGTCATCCATTCTATTATTCTTTTAATTTTTTTCTGTGGACATTTCTTTCCTTTACGTTGGTAGTGTCGAAGTAACGTAGTAGCTATGACAGTCCAGGAAATATGCAAGAGGCAACAATTTTTTTTGCGGGTGATATCTTTTATTGGACTCACTACATGGTTGGGATAGATTTAGACCAAAAGCATACTGTGATACCCAAAAGTCTGTCTAAATCTATCCCAATGATGCAGTGGGTCCAATAAAATGTAATACCCACAAAAAAACCCAAAAAACTTTCTGTTAAGTTGCCACCTGTCCTGGAATGTAAACCTCCAGCCATCATGAGCCAGAAACACAGCTGTTGTAACACCTACCCTTTAGCACAGGGGTGTTCAAACTGTGGCACAAATGCCACCAGCAGTCACTGTGTTTAGATCAGGGAGGAAGTGAAAAGTAGAGTGGCATTCATGGAGGGGGTGTGGCTTAACTTGATACACTTGAACTTAACTTACAGCACACATGCTATGAATGTTCTAGGGGGAAAGGGGGACAGATAAAAGGACTAGATAGAAGGCATTCTTTCATAAAATATAAAGTTTCTGTAGCACTTATGAACTGAAAAAAATCTTTGATGAAAGAACTAGAGAAGTATTAGAAAGCTTCAATTTGTCAAAGCCTTCATGACAGTCTATGATGCTGTTTAGACTAACTGAGAAAAAGCTACCCAGTTGATCTCTCACAAAACTGAATACTACCAGTGAATCATAACATACATAGGAGCCCTTTGATTAACTTGCCTTACAGCGATATCTGTCAGATTCTGGTAAGGTTTTACTATGTAACACATTTAAGGGTTAAAGTACTTTTTGTGAAAGGTTGGCCTATCTCAGACAGAAAAGCAGTCAAGTCTGGAGCAAAACCACATCTTATTGAAAACTTAGCAGAGAATTTATTAAAATGTATTGATGTCGCATCCTTTTTCCTTTCTGGTGTCATTCTGGAAAGGAAAATGAGAGAAGACTCTACTAAGAGAAAGGGTGTGGCAGAACTAGGCTTGTACCTCAAAAGCAGAAGAGAATTATGGGGGGGGGGGTAGGAGGTGAACGACCCACAATACAAAGACTGACTGAAAAATTAAACAACAGTCCCCTCCCCAAGCCAGATTGGGGTTTATCTTCTTTTTCAGTAACTGCAATCTGGTGTGGAGGGGGAAAAGGAGAAAGAAACCTGAGTTTGTTGACTGTTGGGGAGAGATAGCAAGGTAAAATTAAAGTATTCATGATAACTACTTTTGTTATTGATGAATATATTTATATTATGATAACAACATATGTATCTTTTGGGTGACATAATTCTGAAGTAATGCAGCAAAATTACTTTCTCTATTTCCAGCACTAATAGATCAGTTATATTAATGACTAACAAATATAGTTAATCTCAAATGTGCATATCTGATTACATGCAAGACTTGCATGGAAAACTATCATACCTTGTCTTGGTTTTCTTTATTCTTGTAACATAAATTTCCAATCAAGCGAATGAGGTGAGATTTAACACCAACAGCCGGATGGGAAATTTCTCCCTCCCCTGTCACAGAATGAGTGGCAGTGAAGACATTTGTAGCTTGCTTCCCAGCAAGGTGAGTTAACCGCAAAGTATCTGCATAAGAAAGAAAACATACATTTGAATATATTTCCAGATTCAAACCATCATAGATCTTGATAAGCTTGGTGCTTTGATCAGCTTGCTTTTTTTGCTTTTATTTTTTTTGGAACATCAACAACATACACCAAATGAAATAAATTCCAGATATTCAAGAATGTGCTGGACCTCAGTTTGTCAATTCCACTCTGCTTCTTAATTTAAGTACCAGTGTAAGATACAAAACAGTCCTGAAATCAGGAGGATGTTTCTCTCTCATTTGTTTTTAGGTTGAGTTCAATTTTCTGCACTCCCATCTCTGAAGCCAAACCCCTAAATTACTAATGACTCTCACGCTCTTGTTGATACTGTCCCTCACTTGTGCTCATTTTTTCTCCATTTTAGAAGAACTGAACTTTCTGAAATGTTTGTTTTGCCTCCCTTCATTCTGTACCCTACAATACACAAGCCTTCAGAATAGTTCAAAAAAGGACAAAGAAAGAGTAGAACATTCAAGTCTAAGGGAATTATGCTTCTGAAAAATCCCACCAATGGGAAATATTTTTAACCTTTAAATTGCAGCAGTACCTAGTGAGATGCACATATTAAACAATGATTCTCTTTTTCCCAAGAGTTTACAATCTCTCTAACAATCCCCAGAGATATTTTCCTAAAATGCGACATACAGGCACAGAATATGTTTGCAGAATATTTGCAAAAGCATAAAACAAAAATAGGTTGCAGCGATGAATCTCCCTGGAAGAAGTCTGGCCCTCCTTCTACTCAAAATGTGGCTACATTTCTGGTACAAATGGTTCAGTATGATTTGGGTTGAAATTAAAATAAAAAAAATCTACAGGACACAATTTTTTTTCCATCCCAGACAGTTGACTTAGAAGGTGGGAAAAATCTCTGAAGCTTTGGTGGACTAATTTTTTGAAAGCTTTTAAAATGTTCTACTATATGTGGCAAAGTGGGACCCCTGGACTAGCCACAGTGCTAGTTTCCCCACCTGCCTCAGCACATGCCGCCCACCTGTCTCTTCTGCCATGCCTTGATGGAACATAATTGAGGTGGTTAATTAAACGGGAGGCTGCCCATTCTTGCCCCAATGCCAGGGGGCGCTATCTGCAGCTCCATTCCTCCCCTACACCGTAGCCCAAGCTTCGCAGATGGCATCCAGATTACAATGCTCCCGGATTACAGCCAGACCAAGCTTAGGCCTCGTTGTCAGGCCTCAGATGCACACACATTCATACCCACCTCCTCTCACTAGGGCCCCTCACACTCCACCCCCTTGCACAGGGTCAACTCTATACCCTCACCCACACACATACTGGGCTCCTAGCCCTCTGGGTTTCCCCACCTTCGCTGGGGTTCCACATCTCTGCCCCTCACTGGGGCCACCCCCTCACTAGAGCTCCACATTTCCACCCCCTCACTGGGGCTGCCCCCTCCCTGGGGCTCCATCTCCTCGGGGTCTTGTACCCCAAATGGGTTCAGGTGGCCGCAGCCGTGCCTGCCCCTCCTCTCACTCCTTGGGGTCTTGCACCACACAGGGCTCAGATGACTGCAGCCATGCCTGGCCCCCCTCTCACTCCTCAGGGTCTTGCACCACAGAGAGATCAGGTGGCCACGGCCATACCTCGCCCCAACTACCTCTGATGTTTAATGACCCATCCGAAGGAGGGGGCTGGGGTTAAGGTGCTCTGACCCACCTTTCACCAGGGTGGGTAACTGGTCTGGCATTTCCTGGGGGTCCCGCACCACTGGGAGCCCCACCAGGCCACCCACTCCCAGCAGGGTGCAGTTTTAGGTCATACCCAGGACCAGGAGCCTCCAAACCACCCCCTTAAGCTCCTGCCCTTACCTCCAGATGTTGCATGCAACCTTGCAGCCAGGTGATGTTTCTGACTGGCCTGCCAGAAGGGAACTGCTCTGTTTATATAGGCGGCCAGAGATCTAAAATGGCCACCACAATCAAGCACCTGCTGGCTGCTTGGCTCAGCCCTTAAAGTGGCAGGCACCAACAGTGCCCTGCCAAACCATAGAACTTAATGGCTTCATGTATGCAGAGGAAGGATGGCCACCTCAAGTCAGCAGGTCATTTTGAATTAGGCAGAACTTTGGGATTGGGGGAAAGGAATCACCTAATTTAG